GCCTCCAGTTTTGTGTGTATCAGTACCTCCTCTATGGAGGTACCACAGTTCGTTTAATCTCTCGTTCCCTGTTTTGAGTCATTACAAGGAAAGCTGCTGTAAGCATTCATGTACAGATTTTTATATGACGATAAGTTTCCCTTTCTCTGGGATAAATGCCCAAGAGTGCACTTGCTGGGTCGTATGTAGTTGTAGGCTTAGCTTTTGAAGAAACTACCAAACTGTTTTCCAGAGTGGCTGTAACTAGTTTTGTGTTCCCACCAGCAACATAGGAGTGATCCAGTTTCTCTGCATCTTCATCAGCGTTTCTGACGGAAGCCATTCCGATAGATGCAGAATGACACCTCAGTGTGGTTTGAATGTACATTCTCCAGATGCCTGATGATGTTGAACATCCGTATGTGCTTATTTGCCACCCATAGATCCTCTTTAGTCTCTTCATGTCTTTTGCCCATTTTCTAATTGGATTGTTTGGGCTTTTTATGTTGAGTTTTGAGAATGTTTTATGTGTTCTATTATTTAGATACTAGTCCTTTGTCAAATATGTGGTTTCTAGATATTTTCTCCCAGTCGCCAGCTTTTTGTCCTCTTCACAGGGTCTCTCAGCAGAAGATTTTAAAATTTCAGTAAAATCCAATTTATCAAATTTTTTCCTTTTATGGATTAAGCTTTTGGTGTCAAGTATAAGAACTCTTTGCCTACCCATGGATCCTGAAGATTTTCTCCTAGTTTTTCTAACAATTGGATACTATTACATTTAAGTCCATGAGCCATTTTGAATTAATTTTTAGATAAGGCATGAGAATGACAGTGAGGTCCATTTTCCCCCTATCTTGTCCAGATGCTGTAGTACCATTTATCAAAAAAGGCAATCCTGGGCGCCTGGGTGGCCCAGTCGGTTAAGCGACTGCCTTCGGCTCAGGTCATGATCCTGGAGTCCCGGGATCGAGTCCCGCATCGGGCTCCCTGCTCGGCGGGGAGTCTGCTTCTCCCTCTGACCCTCCCCCCTCTCATGCGCTCTATCTCTCACACTCTCTCTCTCAAATAAATAAATAAAATCTTAAAAAAAAAAAAGAAAGGGCAGTCCTTCATTGAACTGCTTTTGCACCTCAGTAAAAAATCAGTTGGGCATATTCGTGTTCATCTGCTTTGAGGTTCTCTCTTCTGTTCTGTTGATCTATATATCTATCCCTCCTGCCAATCCCACCCAATCTTTACACCTGTAGGTATATAGTAGGTCTTGAAATTGGGTATACTGATTCTTCCCACGTTATTCTTTTTCAAAATTTTCTTAGCTATTCTAGTCCCTTTGCCCTTTCCATATACATTTTAGGATAATTTTGTATATATCTACAGAAAAATCTTGATGGTATTTTGATAGAAATTACATTAAATTCATATATCACTTTGAACAGAACTGACATCTTAAGTCTGTTGAGTCTTCCAATTCATGAACAAGGTGTGTCTTTTCTTCCATTCAGATCTTCAGTTTCTTTCATTAGTGTTTTATAGTTCTCAGCATACAAATCCTATACGTATTTTGCTAGATTGACACCTAAGTATTTTTTTATTGTTTATTTTTTGTGAACAATTGTAGTAAATAATGTTGTATTTTTCATTTCAGTGTCTTAATTTAAGTTCATCACTAGTATATAGAAATTGATTTCTGTATATTTATCTTGTATCCTGTGACCTTGCTGAACCCACTTAGTTCGAGGATTTTCGAGGGTTTGATTCCTTGGGATTTTCTACATAGAAAATCATGGCATCTGCAAATAGAGACAGTTCTGTTTCTTCCTCTCTGATCTATATGCTTTTTATTTCCTTTTTTGGGGGGGCGGTTTATTGCTCTGGCTAGAACTTCTAGCACTATGTTGAAAAGAATGGTGAAAGAAAAAAAAAAATGGTCAAAGCAGGAATCCCTGCCTTGTTCCCAGTCTTAGGAGGAAAGCATCCAGTCTTTCATCATTAAGCATAATATTAGCTATAGACTCTTTATCAAGTACCCCTCTGTTCCTATTTTTGTCATGAATATTGTTGAATTTTGTCTTTTTTTTTTCATCCATTTATATGTTCGCGTGATTTTTCTTCTTCACAAACCTGTTAATCTTATGGATTACAATGTTTAAATTTTAGATACTGAACCAAACTTGCATTGACAGAACAAACCCTACTTGGTCATTATGGTATAATTCTTTTAACCTACTGATCTGTTCCTCTATTCTGTTTGTTAAGGTTTTGTTAAGGATTTTTTTCCCTTTTCTTTTAACTTGATTATTAAGGATTTTTGCATCTTTATTCATGAAGGACATTTGTCTGTATTTTTCTTTTTATGGTACTGTGTTTGGTTTTGGTAACATAAAAGCTTTATAAAATGAATGAAGAAGTATTCCTTCCTGTTTTGTTTTCTTGAAGACATATAGACTTGGTGTTACTTTTTTAAAATCTTGATAGAAATCTCCAGGGAGACCATGTGGGCCTGGAGATTTCTTTTCAGGGAATTTTTATGAAATTTTATGAAGCAATTTCCTTCATAATCAACATTTTAAGATTACTTGAATAGTCCTATATCACAATTTCATGTTGAGAGGCTTGTGATAATTTGTGTTTTTATCTAAGTTGTCAAACCAGTGTGTGTAGAGTTATTCATAGTAATCCCTTATCCTTTTGATATCTGCAGGATCTGTAGTAATGTCTTCTGTTTCATTCCTGACATTGGTAATTTGTGTCTTTTACCTTTTTCTTTGTTGATCTTGCTTGAGACTTGACATTTTTATTAATCTTCTCAAAGAATCAGCTTTTTGTTTGACTAACTTTCTCTACTGTTTTTCTGCTTTCCTTTTCATTGATATCCGCTCTGCTCTTTATTATTTCCTTCCTTTTGCTTGCTTTGGGTTTATTTTGTTATTTTTCTTTCTCCAGAAAGTTCTGGAGACTTTCTGTTTTTTTCATTTGTTTCAAGAATGTTTGTAATTGCTCATTGAAGCCTTTTTGTGATGACTGCTTTAAAATCTATATCAGATAATTCTAACAACTCTGTTATCTTGATGTTGGCATCTACTGATTGTCTCTGTTCAGTTTGAGAGCTCCCTGGTTCCTGGTATGATGAGTGTTTTTTTATTTAAACCCAGATATTTTGAGTATTATAAGACTTTTGATCTAGGGACACTTGGGTGGCTCAGTCAGTTGAGCATCTGCCTTCAGCTGAGGTCATGATCTCAGAGTCCTGGGATCAAGTCCCATGTTGGGCTCCTTGCTCAGCAGGGAGCCTGCTTCTCCCTCTACCTGCCGCTACCCCTGCTTGTGTTCTCACACTCCCTCACTCTCTCTCTCTCTCTGGCAAATAAATAAATAAATAAAATCTTAAAAAAAAAAAAAGACTTTTGATCTAATTTAAGCCTTCTGTCTTAGCTGGCTGCTTCTTTTTTTTTTAAGATTTTATTTATTTTTCAACAGAGAGAAAGAGACAGCGAGAGAGGGAACACAAGCAGGGGGAGTGGGAGAGGGAGAAGCAGGCTTCTCGCCGAGCAGGGAGCCCGACGTGGGACTTGATCCCGGGACCCCGGAATCACGACCTGAGCCGAAGGCAGACGCCTAACGACTGAGCCACCCAGGCGCCCTTAGCTGGCTGCTTCTGACACTGCTCTGACAGGGGGAGCAGGGGCTCCTCCTCGTTACTGCCAGGTGTGAGTAGAAGTCCAGGACTTACACTCAGCCTCTGTTGATACCCATTAGTGGTAGGGGTTGGGAGGAGACCCCTTGTTACTGCAGGGCCGGGGTGGGAGTTCCAGATCCCTTCTAGGCCTCCACTAGTATCTCTCTAACCAGAACAGGTAGGAGCGCCTCATTAGTGTTGCCCACGTTGCCCCGCCTGACGCCATAGGGGCATGGGGGTCAGTGGTGAAGGCCTTGAATCTCCACCAGACCTCCTCTGACACCATCAGAGCATGGAGAGGGGGATAGCTCGTTACCGTCAAGTGGAAGGCTAGGCTCTCCACGTGGTCTCCACTCTCACCTGGGGATGGGAACCGCATTTCTGCCCCGCAAGGATGAAATCCCCCCTCCCTACTTGCTCTTCTCTCATATCACCCCAGCTGGGGATGTGGGGGTGCCTGATGGCAGCCTAGTGTGGGTAGAAGCCTGGGCTCCCTGAGGCCCTTCCTGGTATGGTTGTGATGGGGCCATGATATTTTCTGTGGTATTCGGTTATTTTCTAAAACTTCTCTCATGCTAGGTTATCCCTTTCCTGGTCCTTTGGCTACAGAGAGCAGGCTTTGGGGGGATTTTGTTGTCTTCACCATTCATGTTGCTGAGTTGCTGGCTTCTTCAGCTCCAAGTGTGGAATCTATAAGGAACAAAGGAAACCCGGGGAACTCGGCACCTTTCATTCCTTGCATCTTCAGGGACCTAACCAGTCTGCTCCTTCTCTCCATCTTCCAGGGTCTCTTTTGTTTATGTTATATATAACGTTCAGTGTTTGGGGATGTATTTAGTGGAAGGAATAAGGAAAAGTATATCCACTCCATCTTCCCAAAAACAAAACAGCTCTTCTCTTTTTTGGTGACTGTAAACTATTAGAGAAGAACAAGTTTTATGTGCCCTGTAAGGCCTGTGCGTATGAAGGCACGTGATAGTTATTGATGGACTGACTTGGCTGTTCGTGTGGTACCTGGACCTCACAGAGGGAAATTCTGAAAACTGTGACTAGGAGAGACCGCTGGGTGTCTTATTGAACCTTCCCACACCTGTGGTCATGGAAGTGCTCCCTAGGTGCCCAGGTTCCGAAAGAGGGGGGCTGGCATTTTCCCTTTCATCTTCATGGAGAGGTTATAAGCAGAGGACAGACTGCCCCCAAAGCCCTTTGAAATGCAAACCCACCGGTTGCCAGCTTTGGGCAAAGGCCTTCTCATTCCATGGAGGGTGCCCACTTGGGGAGCCAGCTCTCTGGGAGTGCGTGGCCGGGGGTCCAGAGCACTCACCCCATGTGTCCTTTGAAACAGGAGGACCATGATACTATGGAAGCTGATCTGGACAAAGATGAGCTGATCCAGCCCCAGCTTGGAGAGCTCTCAGGCGAGAAGCTTCTGACCACGGAGTACTTGGGAGTAAGTACCACATGAGGGGGCGAGGGAGACGTGCAAAGGAGAGATGGGCCATTGATGCATTGAGCCTTTGCAATGACACATAATGGTTTGGTCTGGTCTGTTACAATACTGTGTTTATGAGAAGTTCTGTGTTGGCCAGTTTGCCTGCAGGGGCCCTGAAGTGCACTGTGGTCTTAGCTACCTGTCCCAGAGCTGTTGGTGAACAGAAAGAGATTCAAATAAAACTAGAGGGCACATGCCGGGAGCCTTCCTAGCATCTAAGGTGTGCCCATCTTTAGTGGTAATCATCTACCTGGCCAGCTTCTGAATTTTGTGCACCTAATCTTGTAGAAGAGAAGAGCGCAGCAGATTTGGAAGTTGTCAGCACACACGTGAGGTTGCCTGACGAAGCGAAGGGTGGAGGGGGAGAGAGTGAGGGGCTGAGGACAGAGAGGCGGACCAGATGTCAGGAGGGGGAGCAAGAAGAGGGGCCTCAGAGAAGGACAGAAAGTGAACAGAGAGGCTTGAGCAGAACCAGGAGAAGGTAGCGTGCTGGAAAACAGAAGGGGGGAGTGTTTCAGGATGGATTGAGTGGTCAGTCTGAGCATCCAAGAGGCCTATGGGGTCACACGGCCTAGATGGGGCCATAATCTGAGCTCTGAGAGCTCCCCGCTGACTCTGATGCTCAGCCAGCTCTGGGAGCCCCTGGTTACCACCCACTAGCGAAATAGGGAAGGGCGTGAGTCAGGAGGGAGCTGCCGAGTGGCCAGCAAAGTGTGGCGGTGTCAAGGGCCCACAGGGGTCTCACGAAACCATGATCAGAAGGCACATCAGTGAACAGGTGGAATGTTAGAGTGTAAGGTTTCTGAAAGGAGGAGCAATTGCAAGGGAGTGGGGGCCAGTCAGTACTGAAGCCCTATGACGGATGGCAGAGCACACAGGAGTGGAAGCCACTGGCATTAAAAGGAGCTCCTGGAATTTTGAAGCTGGTGGTTGACTGGGTCAGTCACATGGACTCCGACATCTCCTCAAATTAGTCAGGTTATGGGTGGAGCAGAAGGCTGGGAGCCAGTCTCTCAACGATCGGCCAGCAAGGACAGTGACTTGAGAAGGGAAAGGATGTGGGTACCGGTGGCCTGAGCCTCGTAGGAGTGACTAGAAGCAGGAAGTGCCTCCCCATCGCTGCCCCCAGCCCTGCCCTCCTCATCTCACCCTGGGCACTGGTCTCCTCAGTCACGGGCCCTGGTCTTCCTCACCTTTTGAAGAATTTCCAGGGCCCCAGGCGGGGGTACAGCATCTGCTGGTGGCACTTGAGGTTAGAGGACAGACAGAGGCCCAGTTGTGGGAGCTTTGTAAGCAAGGGTTTGGGATTTTATCCTTCATGAGCTGGGAGAGTCCTGGAGCAAGGAAGTGACTCAATTTGACTTCTTTTAATATATGACCTTCTGTCTTCACTCTGGCTGCCTAATGGAGAATGGACTGTAGGGGGTAGGAGTGAAAGAAGGGAGATGACCCAAGGAGGCTGGGCCGGGGTGCCACCATTACCCGCCCCTTGCCTCTGGCCATGGTCAAGGCCGATAGCCAGTCACAGTCCTTAGAGTGTCTCCAGGATCGAAGGAGTCTGATGGACTGTGGAGGCTCTGTTTACATTAGGTCAGGTAAGGTTAGAAGTGAGGCAGTCGGGTTCCAAGCTGTGGAAGGGAGTCCGGAGCCCTGACAAGGCCTTGTTTCCTTTGGAAGAGCACTGGCTTTGTCAGGGAAGGACTGGGCTCCATTTGATAGGATGTGCATTTGTAAATACAGCCTCTCCTGCTTCACGGGCAGGAGACGAGAACAGAAGAGGCGAGTCGGTGGGGCTTCTTTGGAGGGTGGGAGCCACAGCCGTGGGGCACACAGCCCTGCGCCCTGGGGACTTTCCCACGGACGCAACCACGCAGGTGCGTGAGCGTCAGCAAGGGCGTCCCGCAGCCTGGCGAACGGAAACCTAAATGCAGCCCCCCGCTGAATGACTTGCGGCACCTCAACACAGTGAAATGCTGTGGGTGAGATCTTATGTTGCTAATGGCGAAGAGTTTTAACAACAACAACAAGAAGAACCAAGATGCAGAACGTCTGGGACTCCCAGCTCACTCGTGCAGCTTGGGGAGGCTCAAAGGGGCAGAGCTTGCAGATGGACCAGCCACCCAGTGTCAGGCCATCTGGAAATGGTGTCATCCTCCCATTGCATGCAGCCCTAAAGCCCCTGAATGTATATGTACCATCCTTTCACCAGAAGGAAACCTTCCAAGTCCAGCACGTTTGCTTGTCTCGATGTCCGTGACTTTCCGTGGAGATGGGAGGAATACGAATGACGAACAGAAAGAATTCATTATATCAATGCTTCCTACAGCTGGACTAACAAATGAGCATAAACCGGGTGGCTTAAAACACCAGACATGTATCCTCTCACGGTTCTGGGGGCCAGAAGTCCCAAATCAAGATGTCCACACAGCCAGGCCCCGTGCGAAGGCCCTGGGGGAGAGGCTCTCATGCTTCCCCGGCTTCTCGTGGCTCCTCATGTTCCTCGGCTGGTGGCTGTGTCCCTCCTGAACTCTGCCTCTGTCTCCAAAGGGCTTCCTCCCCTTCTCTCTTTCATAGCTTAAATGGACACTTGTCATTGGATCTAGGATCATCTAGGACGATCTCTTCATCTCAGAGAGATGTAACTTAATTACATCTGCAAAAGCCCGCTTTTCTGAATGTCACATTCATGGGCTCTTGGGGTTAGAACATGGACATCTCTCTCTGGGGCCACCCCTCAACCCACCGCACCGGGTCACCGTAGGGTCTCATAGTAGAAGCAATTTTAAAGTTTCATTAGAAAAGTGCATGTGGGGCAGTCATCACCGAGGGGCTCCGTACGCTCCCCGTGTTGCCATTGTTGTCTGTTAGGCTCAGCTGCCCTCAGTCAGCCAGTCTTGACTTGGAATGGACAGCCTACCAGCCTCTGGGTGGGGGTCACCAATTTCAACGACAAGTCTGACTTGCTGTGCTTGGGCTCCAGGGCGGACAAGGGCTCTAAGTTCACAGCGTCATATCGGCTTGTTCCAGGCGAGGGAAGCTGCTAAAGATAGAAGACATTTCACTGGGGCCTGTGTGCCCAAAAGTCATGATTCCCGCCGCCTCTTCTGATGTACCAGGCAGATTGGAGGTTTCTCAAGATCACTTGAAAGATGTGGACTTTTTGAAACATTGTATCAGACCATCCAAAAAGTCTTTCTTGAATTCATGGCATCTGCCTAACAGAGCAGAATGCCACGAAATTGAAGACCTGGCTGTCACCTTGGAGAAGTTTACAAAAGAAGACACAGAGCAGATGAAACTGTGCTGTTGGTGAGGGTTGCAGATGGCAGCAGGGGTGGTGAGTGGGTGGGCAGAGACTGGCTAGCCCAGGGTTCCTCAAAGCCCCAGACCCTCGAATGTGCCCAAAGCTGAGTCTAGGACCCGCCCCAGACCTCCGTACCGTAATCCCAGGAATCAGTTCTTGTAGACACCAGTGATTTGGAAACTATGGCTTGGTTGGGGTGGGGGGCTGTGAGGGTGGAGCTGGAGCATCCGCGGCGGCCCACCAGGGTGTTGGGGGCTGGAAGGAAGCCATTCTCAGAATTCCTGGACCCCTTAGCTCGCCCCCTGCTGGGCATTCGTAGCCACACCCCTCCCTGCACAGCCCCCCTGCCAGTCCTCACCCTCCCAAGTGCAAGCATAACAGAGCTCCCGAGCACCGCAGAGCCCGGCCACTGAAAATGCTGCAGACCACAGGGAGCTCAGAAAGCTGGCGACGGGAGAACAAGTCCCTTTTCCTAAGCTTGCGTGAGAGTGGCAGTGGTCACAAGAGATGTGCTGCTTCCTTGGAATTCTGGTGGAAAGCAGCATGCTTTGCTTCTTCCCAAGGCCGTGACCATCAGCAGGTCAAGACTGATGATTTGCCAACTTCTCCTTGCTTGGTTATTTCTGAATTTTTTTGTATTGTCCATACTCTGCTGAATAATCATTTATTTCTTCCTAAAAAGAATGCCCTGATTTAAATAGCTTCGTCACCTTGGTTAAAGGGGCACAGATATTTATCCTAGCATCTCAGTTTTTTGTTTTATGTTTTTTTAAAGATTTTATTTATTTATTTGTTAGAGAGCGAGAGCGTGGGCGAGAGTGAGCGAGAGAGAGTGTGAGCAAGGGTACAAGCAGGGGGAGGGAGAGGCAGAGGGAGAAGCAGGCTCCCTGCTGAGCAAGGAGCCTGATGCGGAACTCAATCCCAGGGCACTGGGATCATGACCTGAGCCGCACGCAGACGCTTAACCGACTGAGCCACCCAGGCGTCCCTCAGTTTTTTGTTTTTATTTCAGAGTTTAAACTTGTTAGTTACCTTTAACAACAGTAATAGGCGTGTCTTAAATTGGTTCAGCACATGTCACGGGCCAAGCAAGCCCTGTGCTGACTGCTTCACACATCTGACTCCATTTAATTTGGTCCTCCCAACAAGCTACGGGGGAAATTCTCTTAGCGTAGCATTTTCTAGACAGGAGAGCTGAGGCCAAGGAAGGGTAAGGAACATTCTCAAGTTGATTTGAGCCTGCTTGCCCTTGCTCTGTCCCACTAAGCTGTGCCACCTTCTGGAAGAGCTGTCGATTTTCCAGTGAATTGCATGCTGTATTTGAAAACTGAGAGAAGTCCGACTGAGTGACATATTCACAATGTCTGTACGGTCTCAGTTTTAAGCACAGACTCAGTTTTAGGGGGAATGCCGATTGCAAAAGCTAATTACTCACTTTCCACACTTTCTTCCCCCTGTCAAATGAAGGCCCAAATTCATGCAGTTTTCCAGAGACCGCCTGAAGGACTGGTTAGCCCTGCCTCCAGAGAATGTGTATGGAGATGTGCCTGGGAATCTGCATCTTTATCACCACCACCCCCTACCCCCAGGAGTCCTGAAGCCAGAGTCTGGGCCATGGAAACTTTGCCACTTGGGCGGTGTGCACAGCTGGCCG